ACTTCACAGGTATGATGAATTCTGCTGGCACACAGTACATTTTCAGAAACACTAGTTATTAGTAAGCAATTCCACCAGTGTTAAAAGATTTCCATATAAACAGCTTAGTAGACATTCTAATGACTTTCATTATTTTTTATTTTAACACCTAGTTAAAGAAAGAAGACTTTTTTAAAGTCATTCAGATTTATATACAAGAAGATAATCACTACAGGGTAAAGAAAACTTATAGACCTTACGTAAGTACACACATAAAAAATATGAAAATAGCTACCATTAACATGTTACTATTTCTCTGGGTGGGTTTGATTTCTTCTTTATACTTCGTTTTCCCAAATTTCTTTAATGTACTTAGTCATAGTTTGATAAATAAGGGAAAGTTACTTGCAAATGAAAAGTTTTTTTTTTACAACTTGTATTACAATAAAACCTATGAAGAGCTAAGAATAACTCCCTAAATTTCTGTACTACTGGTTTATACTCCTCACTATCTACATTCCACAAAGGAAGTAGTAAATATTAAACAATGAAGTACTATTCTGGTAAATACTAAATGGAATATACAAATTTCAAGCATACACAAAAGGAGAGACAATAAACCTTCATGTACCAATCAACACTTCACCATCTTGTTTATTTTACCACCCTTTATTTTAAAGCAAATCCCAATCACAACATCATTAAGGCTGCCTGTTCTTAAAATTTTGTAAGCAACCTGTGGTAAATTACAAAATATAGCTACAAATCCCTCCCATCTCAGTACACACACTCCTCCATATTGTGATGCTGCTGGTCTGCCTCCAAAGAGATAAAATCTTAATTCCTCACCCTCTGAATGGGGGCTAGCCTAGTAAGACTTACTTTGACAGAATGTGTAGTGTTGCCCTGGCCAGCCGGCTCAATTGGTTGGAGCATCATCCCCAACGCCAAAAATTCTAGGTCAGGGCACACAGGAGTACCTACCTAGGTTGCAGGTTCAATCCCTTCTACGGCACATGTGTGGGAGGCAACCAATTAATGTTCCTTTCTCTCCCCACCCCCTTCCTCCTCTCTCTCCCCACCCCCTACCTCTTCTCCCTCTAAAAATCAGTAAGAACATATCCCTGGGTGAGGATGAAAGAAAAAGAAAAGTTAAAAAAAAAAAAGTGCAGTGTTAAGGGACATTATACAATTTGCCAAGCTGTAAGAAACCTTATAGCTTCTACTTGCCCTCTCAGGTTGCTCTCTTGAGAGAGCCTAATCATAAAAGACCACATCGAGCAAAACCTAATTAAGCAACACCAACTACCACTCATGTCAGTGATGCCGTCTTAAACCTTTCAGCTTACAAAATCCTCCAGTTGAATGATGGTACATGAGTAAACCTAGGCAAAACCAGTATAGCCGCCCAATAGGCACATACAACTGTAAAAAAAAATAAAATAAAAAAAGGTAAACAGTAGTTTTAATCCACCAGGTGTTGAGGTATGGTTCAAAGCTATGAAGCTTCAAAATGTATCCTAACTTTTCACTTTCCTTTTATCATATCAGTTTCTAAGAAAAATCTGATTCTATTTCAGGGTGTAACTTAAAATGTCTTAAATATCCCCAGGTGAGTTGCAGTTGCTGAATTACCTAAAGCACAACATTACTATACAATAAATTCAAGTCATGAAGGCCAGAGGTATCACAAAAATACTAACATATTGTGACTGCCAATCACCTTCCACAAGTACAAACATAATTACAATTCCATTATTTATTCCTACTTGATACTTTTTTGTTTGTTTGTTTAAAAAAAATCTTGCTTCTGGGGGATAATTTTCTTTTCTCAGTAAGAAATCCTAGTTATTTTATTGATTACAGTGAACACGAGAGACATGGAAGCTATGGGTGATCACATGAGGAAAGCAGTTTTTTTTCCCCCTAAAATGTTTTTAGCTGTCAAATATAAGACACAAAGATATACCCATCTTGAAAAAGATAACCAAATAAAAGTTTAATATCTCCATGAGAAAATATAACTATCATGCTAAGACTACACTACAGTACTTCATTAGATAATCTGTTCTCCTTTTAAGAGTATTTAAAATCCTTAAGCCTCAAGGTTCAATCTTCATTCTGTAAGTGGAAACCATTTTGGAGGCTTTTCTGGAAAAGTGAGAAATACATTACACTCAAGTACAATAATCATAATGGAAAGATTAGAACCAGCTTTTAAGATTAAAAACTTGTTCTCTTTTAAAGTTGTTGACAACAGTGGGATATGTAATGTAGGCCAGTAGTGACTTTAAAACAAGGTGTTCCAACGTACCTTGTCTAACCGGTAGAGTCACAGAGAAAGAGAGCAAGAAAAACCAGCTCTGATCATGAGTTCACACCAGAGAAGTTACAAATTAAGGTCAATGAAAATTAAACCCCAGCCAACTCTCAAATTACAATTTTATCCCCCCACTTTTTGGGTTCATCTTATGATTTGCAACTCTACTAATGGTTTTTTGGGGTTTTTTTTTGGTAAAATAATGATTTGTGAGAAGATAAACTATTTCACTGCAATAGAATTCTACTTTAGTGAATTCAAGTAGGTCTAAGGATGAACTCAAAATCTTTCTCATCTTAAATTGTCATCATCTTAATGTGATCAGTTGCTGATTGTTACTTAGATTCCTTAGTTCTTAAGTTTAATTTGTTGGTTAAAAATGAGGTTTGGCCCTGGCCCGGTGGCTCAGTTAGTAGGAGAGTTGTCTGCTGCACCCTGCAACTGCAGGTTCAATTCCTGCTCGGCCACATGCCTAGGTTGCAGATTTGATCCCTGGTCAGGGTACATGCACAAGTTGGCCAATTGATGATGTTTTGGTGTTTCAATGTTTCTTCTTCTGTCTCTTAAAAAATGGGTTAACATATCCTCAAGTGAGGATTAAAATAAAAATTAAAAACTTTTTAAAAATAAAAATGAGGTTTGGCGGAGGCCTATGCATTTCCCACTGTTTATTATTAGCACTGTCACTTAATTATCTGTAGTAACAGCAGTGTGTATCAGCAAAGATAATCTAAAAATCATTTTTATTTGGTTTAGGTGTACAATAGCTCTCCTTGCCAAAAAGCACAGAGCACTAACTTTGCAAAACAATACACAAGGTCTTTCTTGTCATGTTCCAACTTTCCATTCAATTTGTTTCAGCTATGAGAAACAAAGTGTTCATTACTAAAACAAACGAAGATATCATGACTTTACAGTTTCCTTATCAACCTCTTAATTCATCCTTCTCATCTCAGTTAAAGCAATACATATAAAATTTTCCCCAAGATTAAACACACCTCCTCTATGCCCCCAAGGTACTACTGCATACTTACACTAAGATAATAGCAGTTGTTTATATCTTAATCTGATGACTAAATTGTGAGTTGTGGAGGGCAGATGCTGTGTCAAGCTCATTCTTGAAATGTGAATCCCTAGTCTAGAAGCCAGAATACAACAAATTAACAAATTATCAAGTAATGTAAAACAAATAATATTTTACATTCTTTGATAATAATTTTGCACTATTCCAATTACTTTCCTAAAATATAATAGTAAAATGTGGGTAACTCTTGAACACATTTCATATAAATTGAACAGTTCACAGAAATATATATTGTGTGACGCTGTCAGCAATCTGTGGGGAACATTACAGGAAGAATAAAATTTTAAGGTTATTCAGACAAGAACTCATAAATATAAACTAGACTTTAGTTATCAATTCAAATTGTTTGTATTCATTTAAAATTTACTCTGCAAGAATTAGAGGTCCCCCAACATGTTTACTGCTACACACTGCCCTGTCTAATCCTTACCTTTGGTCTAGGAATTAACTGCTATATTTCTAAGGAAATATAAAGAGGTTAAATAATCTACAGCAAAATTCAAGACTCAAACCCATAACTTCCGACTCTAAAGCCTCACACACCACTGCTGTGTCACAAAATGCTGTAGAGCTGTAAATAAAATACTGACCTCATGAAAAAGAACCTACACTATATGTCTGCCTTAACAACAGTACAGTTTTTGATTTTTAAGTCAGTAATTCATCTTTAACCTTACCTCTTAGTTCTGTACAGAAATGGATGGATGGGAGTAAGGGGATATGAAATATGATAAAAAGAGGAAAATACCTAAAAAGTCGTACAAAAATCGAAAAAAAATCTTACCAAATTCAATTTCACTTGGCACATTTACTTTTTAACGTGCCAAAGGACACTAGTGATGAATTTATTACCGAGAGAGATTTTCTCTATATATTATCTACATCTGCATATAGGAAAAAAGAATTAACTGTAGTATTTTTTGGGTGTGTGTGTGTGTACATTCCTAAGTCTTCACTACGCAGTTTCATCAAAATGAGGGAGTGTTCTATTACAAGTGGCTTCCGTATTTTTACTTCTTATGCCAACAGGTCCGTTTTTATACACATCATCACCTATTTCAATTTAAAATACACATAATAGTATAAGACAAAAAGAACTCCCCATGTATCACGATATTCAAGAACTGGAACAATGATCCAGAAGACTAAAGACTCACCGTACCTGGGGGCAGGGAAAGCCCCTTCAATACGAGGCTGGGTTGGCAGAGCCCCAACCCTCCCCGCCTTCAACACCACGTAAATGTTGGACCTCCCTCGTGACCTTCCCGGCCTGCCGTGCTCGGTAGGACCCTCCTTACCCCAGTTGAAAAGGCCGCCGCTTAAGGCCAAAGCATGGCGGAAGCCCCTAGCTCTCACCCACCAGGCATCTAAAGACTACAAATCTGTTCTCCTCCACCCGGCATAAGCTCCGGACAGAAGGCCACCGGCAGAGGAGGCATGCGACCAGAATCCCTTCGTACCGGCAGTCACGAATCAAGTTCTCCCAGCCCCGATCCTGCTTAGGAGGAAGCGACCTCCGCGTCCCCAGGCCTGCACTTCGTTCTCTCCCCTCCCCCACCCGGGTCCTCGGCTAGAACCACCTCCCCCAAAAGAAGCCCGAGCTCCGCAGCTTATTACCTCCGCTCTGGAGCTGGCACTGAACAGGACGCGTCTCGCTAACAACGACCACACCGCTGCCTTCCTTCTCGAAACAGTAGGACGCGGAGGAAAAGCAGTTGGCGGCGAAAGACAATGGCGCCCGCCCCTCTTCCAGATCCGGCACAGAACTAGCTGCCACCGTTAAATGCCCCTCCCTTCTCCTCCTCCTCCCAGTTCCCGGACTCCTCCGGCATCTCGCGAGAGTGGCGGCGCTGTGGCGATCTGAGAGAGGACTCGACGTACCCCACCGCGGGGTGGTGCTCTGACTGCGGTAACCGTTGAAGGGCTGCCCGGAGGAGGCAGCGAGACACCACCGGTAAGCGGCCAGGGCTGGTCGGCTGGTCGTCCGATGGGCTGGCGGCTGGGCCAGCGAATGTGCGGGCGTCAGGAGCCAGGCGCTGGAGGCCTGGCTCTCCGTTGGTACCCCTCGTCTAGGTAGCGAGGGGCTCGCATCCAGCCCTGCCGCTCCCGGGCACCCAAGTCCCGGCTACAGGCTTTTACCGCCTCCCGCAAATCTGCAGGGCCCTACTCGAAATACCGTCCATCCTATTTTTTTTCTCTTGGTCAGTGGCGCAGGGAATGTTTAGCAATGACTTGAATCAAGCACTGCCTTTTCCGACCTCCCATCCTCCCACTCCCTGCTCTCCCTGTTTAATGTTTGCGACCCCTCCCCTTTTCGGGATGGGAGCCGATCCTGACCTTAAGGGTTTTTTCGGTAATTCAGTTTTGGTGGTGGTGTACTTTTATACTAATATTTGATAGTAGAGCAACAGATTTTGTAGCAAAAATATCATCCATTTAGAAAGAGTAAGGAATATTGTCAGGCAAATGGTCTCGTGATGTTTTTTTTTTTAATCGAATGAAATTAGACAAAACTTTCAGAAAACTAAGTGATAAACTAAGAGGTAAATGAATACCAATACAAAGGAAGTACGTTAGAGGAAAAGCCACAATTGATATGGACTTGATAGTATCCTGGATTAGGTGATATATGGGTTTTGAATTATTTTTAAAAAGATTTTGTTTATTTATTTATTTATTTTTAGAGGGATGTGAAGGGAGGGAGGAAGAGAGGGAAAGCAACATCTATGTGTGAGATAAATCGACCAGTTGCTTCTCACAAGCCCCCAACCAGGGACCTGGCCCACAACCCAGACGTATGCCCTGACTGGGAATTGAGGGGTGATCCTTTGGTTCACAGGCCAGCGCTCAGTCCACTGAGCCACATCAGCCGGGGTAGGTTTTGAATAACTTAATCAAACATAAAAGTAAATATATTGAAACTTACAGATATAGTGACAGCACTTGATTATTAAAGTGACCTATGTTATTAGGTTGTTTTAAGCAATTCAGTGGATTCACATAATTCTGATGAATGAAGTATGAGGTACATATGTATGTATTTGCCTTTTCATGTGAAAGAAATGCGCTATTACCGTCATCCCCATTTTTCTCGTTCTTGGAGACTAAAAGACTATCCGTATTTCACTATTGTAAATTGTAAAATATTATAAAGGTTAAAGATTTAAAGTTGGATTATTGTTATTTAAAATTGACACTTAAATGGCAGTCTAAATTTTTAGGATGTGAGTTGAAGATTAAGTATGTGGTATAGGATAAAGAGAACACAGATTACTTTTGAGGAATTCAGTTTGCCCTTTTTAGAAAATTGATTTTTTTCCCCCAGCCTGTTTGAGTATTCCTGTAGCTTTTGTGGTTATGGATATACACTCCCTGAAACACCAGACTGTATGGGTTCACACCCCATGCCTGCCTCTTACTACCTTTGTTATCGTGAACAAGTCCTTAACCTTGCTAAGCCTAGGTTTCCTGTATAATTAGGGTTAATAACAATACCTATACCCCATAGGGTTCTCAAAAGGATTCTACCAGATAATGCATTATTTCCTGAAACAGTAGGCATTTGACAATTGTTAGTTTTTACATTCAAAATCAAAACCACCGCTAATACTGTCTTTCTGGGGTTTGATATTACATATGTTTCTTAAACTTCTTCTCAGGTATGTTCTGTGCTAAGAGGAATGACTGCACCATTTTCCTGAGCTATGGCAGTCAGATCTGCTATCAGTGACTTCTCTGCAGAACCCCCAAACCTGGCAAGGATGGTTCAGATTTTGGCAGATTATGGCTTCATCCCCATCCAACATTGATGTTACCAGCAGAGGTGAGTGTGGTACCAATTTTCTCAGCTAAACACACTGTCCAGACTCTAGTTTCTTAGTGATACCAGTAAATCCATAAATACCACTGAGAAATATGTTATAGTCTTTAAGAATGGTTAGTTATTATTTTTTTAATGTACTTTCTCTTATTCGAATTTTCAGGAAATTATCATTACCAACAAATAATTGAGATTTTCATATGTTAAAGACAATTTTATGGGAATTCTGCATACAAATAGGTACAATAGTGACTATATTTTCTTAACTAAAAATCAACAAAATGATTTAATAGGCAAGATATTTGAAGTTAGAACCGTTCTGACTCAGATTCCATGGATGCCTTTTTTATAGGGTTCCCACATTTCACCTTCCTTTGCTGAACTTTTCCTCCTTAAGACACAGCTTTCAGTATGTAAATCTTTGTTTCCCACTTGCCCACACTACTCATATTAGTTTACATTTTTTAACTTGGCTTCTTCTCTAAATTAGGGTCTTACTACTATTTATTTTTTCCCTTTCTACTTGTAAATTTACCACTTGGGCAACAGCACTTTACTTTTATATATAACTATTTATTTCTTCAGTTATCTGTTAGCTTAAAATTCTCTTTTTTTATATACTAAATTTCAAAGTTCTTGTTTTCCCCACTTTTTATTATCCGTAATCCTAACCATCTAAGGATCCTCTCTTTGGCAAGGGCAATCTTACAGACATTCTTTACTTTGCATAGAGATGTGATCTTGAATAGCTGTGGTTTTATTTGCATTTTGTAAATCAAATCTTTTCTGCATGTAGGCTATTAAACTTTTGAGGAACAGGAGGTAGTACCTGGGATGAGATGAGAATGCTTATAGGGAGGTCCGTGAGTTGAAAGCAAAGGATGCCAATTTCTTCTCAAATGGAAACACATCCCTGGAAAAAGGACACCTTATGGCATCAACCAACTTGAGGATCAACTATTTAGTTATAGGGAACTTTAAATGTGTAGTATTTATTGTTATTTAACAATAGTCTATAGAGGACTCTTCTAAGAAACATTATGAAAGATCTTTTGCTTTAAATCTTTGATGTAAAGAATTCCTTTGATGTAAAGAATCACTAAACCCGTTTGTGGATTTTAATTTCCAATTATCAAATTTAACTGAAAGGTGCCACATTTAATAAGTGAATATTTAAGACAATCTGTTGGCTTGACTTCTGCTTGATTAGCAGCAACACTTTCAATTCCTAAAGCCAATAGATAAAATAATACAATTAAAGAACATACTATCATGAAATCCTCTCTGAGAAACTTCTTACACTTAAGCTTATGGTGTATATATCATTGGTTCTAGGAAGGTCATTCCTGCTTATATAGCTGTTTCAGAATATCTGTCTTAGTCAGATATAATTCCCAATTAATGGAGCACCCTGAATCCATATGTATATGATGCATCTTTCATACTGCCTGAAACACAGAGAGTGTTTCATAAAAGCAACTATATTTTATTATTGATACTAGGGGTTTGAAAATTGTGGCACAGTGGCCAAATCTGGCCTACTGCCTGATATTGTAAATAGCTGTATTAGAACATAGCTAGTCATGTTAGTTTATGTATCACCTAGGTACAGGTTCTGCAGAAAAACTAAACCAATAGTGTGCAATCTCTCTTTCTCTCTCTCTCTCTCTCAACTATCTAATCTAGTTTATCTAGCTATCTAGAGAATTGGCTCCCAGGATTACGGAGACTGTCTGAAATTTTCGGGTCAAGCCTGAAGGCTGGAAACTCAGAAAGGAGTTGATATTGCAGTCATGAGGCAGAATTTCTTATCCAGAAAAGCTGGGGTTTTTGTTGTTGTTGTTGTTGTTGTTGTTGTTGTTGTTCTCAAGGCTGATTAGATGAGTGCATCATATTATCAAGGGTAATCTTAAAGTCAGCACATTGTAAATATGAACCACATTTACAAACTATCTTCATTGCAGTGCTTAAATCAGTGTTTGATTAAGTAACTTGATTCTCTGTTTCACCATGTTAACACAAAATAAACCATCAGCCTGTGAGTGGTTTCTCCCAAAACTGCAGAGTTGAGTAGTCGTTATAGCACAATATGGGCTCAAAAAGCCTAAAATAATTTATTATTTGGTTCATTACAGAAAGTTTGCTGACCACTGCAGTAAACTGTAAAACCAGATTGAACTGACCCCTGTTCCTTTAATACAGTCATGCAAAACTCACACACACAACTTCAGAATGATAATAATCGAGGACTATGCTTGGCTTCCACAGTCACTTCAGACTACATTTTATGGGAATGGAAGCAGAGAAGCATCCAAATGCTAAATTCTTTGGGTGTTTCCTTTGGCAAGTTTGATTGCAACCCCATTTTTATCTTAAATATTTTTCATGTTCAGCCCTTACTGTGTGACTTAGTGGATTGGACACCCTGCAAACTGAAAGGTCACCAGTTTGATTCCTGTCACATGTTTAGGTTTGTGGGTTGGTCCCTGTTTGGGGGTGGCAAGGGACAGCCAGTTGATGTTTCTCTCACACATAGATGTTTCTCTCCATTTCTTTCTCCCTCCCTTGCTCTCTCTCTTAAAACAAATAAAAATAAAATCTTCTAAAAAATTTCATGTCCACATATGTGTACAATTTAATAACAATGTATATGTTGATTATATCATACATATTAGTTATTTTAGTATAGTCCTATCATTTTCTTTGGCTTTATACCCCACCCCCTTTTATTTTCTTTTGTTCCTTTCCTTTTTTTAATTTGACTCTCCCATCTTTATTTATTACTCCACAACATTCTTGCAAAGTTAGTGAGCATCCTTCTGCTTTCTTTTCTTAATGATCATATATCCTTAAAAGAATAGTTATAGCACATACACACATGCAGAAGTTCTTATATATATAGTATCTTTTTTAATATTTAATAAAACAGCCTCAGATTTCAACATGCATAGTC